TAGCTCTCTTCTGTTCTGTAGGGAATTTGAGGGTGAAATTTCCTTCCCCACCAAGATAGACCACAGTTCTTAGAAAATACCTTTAAGTTCAGTGATGTTGCCTCTATTTTGCTGTCCTTGTCATTGTTGCTTGTTACAGGCAAAAGGGACTGACTTGAAGCAACAGCCTGCAACTGTGCTGGGTTCACTGAACTTTTTCTCAGTGGCAGTACCAGTGGGTGAAGCCGTAGTCATGTAGTGGCCCAGGTATCTTCAGCTGAAGAAGCAGGACTGAAAAGAATGTTTTGTAACAGTGATTTTGTTGGCACACGTTGGTATATTTAAGCTAAATCTTCTTTCAATATTGTTGATTTTGAGAGGGAAGCCCCTGAGATTCAGAGAAGTGTCAGGGTAAGGAATACAAAGGGGCCTGATGCTGAAAACCTTCACTTTTCAGTCTGGAAGTAGCCTTTGTGATACTATTCTGGTTTCCAAGCATGCCTGAAAGTCTTATTTTTGCTTTGTTTCAGTGCAATATAAACACAAATTTCAAAAGTCACTGCGACGTGAGTCACATGCTGTGATATGCAATTGTTGTCTCCAGCTGGTTTAGCTGTAGCAGTATTTTTTTAGCTGCTAGTCTAAACCTCAGGTGTCAATAAACTGCTTTTATTGGATCCCTGAAAGAAGGAACAACAACCCATGACTGGAAGAAGTATTATGGTGACTCTAAAGCAGTCTGCATGGCTCCTGGAGATTTTTTTAGGGGTCTGCATATCTGAATATGTTGAAAAACACTGAAAAAGAGAGAAGCACACAGTATGAATAAATCACATTAGTTTGTTTTCCTGTTTTTGTTTGCAGCCTGTTAGTGTAACCAACAATAGGAATGTGTTTGTCAGTGTATGAGATACTGGTTTCAACTGACAGTCATTTGGAAACACAGGCCCATAGAATAATTTAGGTAGGAAGGGACCTCTGGAGGTCTAGTCCATCTCCATCTGGTCCAATCTCCTGCTTAAGGCATGTTCACTTAGACCAGGTTACTGAAGTCCAATTACAGTTAGGTTGTTCAGGGACTTGCCCAGCCAAGGTTGAACATCCTTGGGGAAGGAGATTCCCCAACACCTCTCTGGGTGGTGTGTTCCAGCAGTCTGTCTGGCAGGCATAGTATGCCCTTGCTAAATCCATGCTGGCTGTTCCCTGTCACCTTCTTGTCCTTCATGTGCCTGGAAATGCTTTCCATGGGTATTTGTTCCATAGCCTTCCTAGGCTAGGTACACCATCCTGTAGTTCCCCAAATCTTCCTTTTGTCCTTCATAAAGATGGTGTTTGCTTTTTCTAGTCATCAAGAACCTCCTCCAATCACCATGACCTCTCAAAGATGATAGAGTGCCCTTGCAATGATATCGGCCAGCTCCTCAGTACCTTTGGATCTATCCCATCTGATCTCATGGATTTGTGTATATCCAATGAGCTACGTACTCCCTGTCTCTGTCTTCCTCTTTTGTTGTTAATGTTTCATTCCTTCCCAAACAGTGTAGGGGTCCTTGATGACCTGAGGACAGACCTTCTCAGGGAAACTGAAGCCAAAAAAAGCACCGCTTATCTTGACCTTTTCCGTATCCTGTGTTAGTGGGTTACCTGCCCCATTGAGCACATTTTCCTTACCATTCCTTTGGCTGTCAGCGTAGCTGTAGAAGCCCTTATTGTTCACATTTCTTCCCAGTTTCAACTCCAGCTGAGCTTTTGCTTACCTAGCTCTGTTCATGTAATGCCTCTGTTCCTCTTGGCTAAAGCTGTCCCTGCTTCCTCTGTCTGTGTTCTTCCTCTTTGGGGTTTGGGGTTTATCTCAGTCAGGAGATCCCTGCACATCCATACTAGGCTTCTGCCAGACTTCACTTTCTGCACATGGGGTGGAATGTGTTTTGAGGAGGTTGTCCTCAAAGATCAACGCGCTCTCCTGGGCCCCTTTGCCCTCCATGGCAGTCTCCCATGGGATCTGCCAAGCATATCCCTAACAAACTGAAATCAACCAAGGATAAATAAAATTCAGAAATTTGATGGGGAAGAAGAACACAGATTTCAACATGTACTTTTTAGCCCTTGGAAACAAAAATATTTTGAAGTAGTAAACCTGTTCTGATAATTTTTGTATAAATATTAATCATGCAGCAAACTCCTTCTGCACTAGCAATCTCTAGTGCAGTTACTAAGGAACAATTTGTGTTTAAATTAAATGATCGCTGCTGATAATGGTATAACAAAACCAGTGTTTTCTATGCTTGTTTTTAAAAAGGTCAGGCATATGAATCGCCCCAGGTGCCCCGGTTAGTGCTGTGTAGCTTGTGACGGTGGAACAGTTAACATTTCAGCCCAGCTGAGGCTACAGCCATTTCATGCTAATTTTAAAAAATGAGATAACAAGCAGCCCTGATTTCCTCTGTATGTTTTTGCTTTAGCTGGTTACTGTTAGATTATGCTACAGTTTCTTTTTTTTTCCTCTCCCAATCCCACCCCAAGCATTACTGGACTCAGTAGTGTACTTGCTTTAGCTGAATTCTGTCACTTTTCTCTGCACCATTCCCATCCTGGAAAGCACATAGGTTCTGCTGTTTGTTTCACAAATTAGGTCATTCTTCTTTGTTGGAAGTTTCTAACCAAAATCATGATAGTGGTAGGTTTTGTGGTGAGGAATAAGTTTATACTTGATTAGGTGCTCTTTACTAACAAGCATCTCCATACTGACCCCATGGCAGATACCTTTTGTCTATTGTGATAAAAGAAAGGTAGACTCTTAAAATGGGCTAAATAAACTTCCATCAAGATATTTTGAAAAAAGAGAAGATTCCATACGTTCCAACTCTTAGGCAGCTAACAATATCCAGTATTTTGGCCAGTAAAGCCTTTATTCCTGGTGTCTGTTTTGGATTGAATGTTGGTTGGGGTTTTTTGGGTTTTTTTTTTTTTTAAATCTTACTTCAGTGGTTGGTCAAGTAGAGTTTATGTAATTGTTTTTTATGAAATTTTTAAATTGGAATTTTTTATTTTAATCTTAGTGCTGCTTTCCATGGAGAGCAGAATGACTCCTCTAACTTCCAGTAGTGTCAGTCCTCATCTGGGTGCAAGGTCTGCCTAGGTGTAATGAGACATACAGCCTGCACCCCCAGGACCACGTGCCAATACAGTCCCGCAGTAGGACCATCTCCGGAACATCTTAGCATACTCCTTACCTGCATGGCAATTTTGGGGGATGGAGGAGAAAGCAGTCTGATAGAAAGATCCTGTATATAAGGGAAGGGGTTTTTTTACGTCTTTTGGTGACTTTATATCTGTTTTGTGCCCCATATTTAACAGGTGGGGAATCCTGCTTTTTAATAGCTGATGGCTTGATATCATTTCTCAAACTCAGTGGCAACACTAAATTATGCCTATTGTGTTAAGTAAGGCAGATGCAATTTTGTTAAGGTTTATGCATTTTGTAGAGTCTGCCAAATAAGAGTTATTATAATAATAGTGTTTCACATCCTTAGACTGCTGTAAAAACATTCGTTAATATGTTAATGAGATGGTGACTGCCTTAGCTGCATTTTATACTTGTTTTATCTGTTGTAATGAGAAATTGAGCTGGGAATTAGGTTGGAAAAGGGGACTGTGCCAGTGATTAAAGTGTAAAACAGGGGAACTGAATGTCCAAACAGTTTATTGAAATGCTTCTTGATACTGTGTTCATTTAAAAAATAATCAATAATTAGTTTTATAAAGTTTAAGTGTTATTTAAAATACAAGTAAACAGTGGAGGAATAGATACCATCAGGCTTGACTGGAGGTTACACTGTGTGCTCATATGAGGAGCATTAGGGTTTTTATGTTACGGTAGTGGTGGACAAAGTCTCTCAAGTAGAAGCTGGGTTTTTTCATGCATAGGCTAAGCCAGAAACCTGACTTAGCTGTTCTGTTTTCACTTACTGGCTGCTATCATGCTACAGTGTATCAAAATGGAAGGGTTTTTTCATTAATATCATGGAATGAGAAGACCTGTTGTTCCATTTTTCTAGTATTGTATTAAATTGATTTGTTTCTCTCTTCTGTCTTAATTTTATTCATGGAATACACAGATAATGATTGTGTGCTGATGACGAGATAATACTTGCAAAAGATGTGTGTTTGTTATGCTTGTTCTTTGCCGGAGAGCTATGAGTTTCTTCAGTTCTTAGAAGCTCAGATCATGGGTTTATGCTGAAAATGAAAAACGGGCAAGTCTAGGATGATCTTTTTTTAAGTATAGAAAGGATGTCATTTGCATCTAACATAGTTTCTGATACAGAGTTGTAGTCTGACCATTATTTTAATCTTTTTAAATATTTTCTAGAACACAGCCAAAAACAGTTTTTGCAGAAGTGGAACCCGAAGATGATGAAACAGACAAGCCAGAGTGGAAAAAACGTAAAATTTGAAGAATTTGGTTTAAAGAATAATTTTAGAGCATTTGAAACAAAGTACAGCATTTATTTCTTTATGTTGGGGAGTGGATCAAAATTTGAAAGCAAAAATTAATTTGGTTCATAAAACCTGCTGTAGTGTAAAAAGGGATTGTTGCATTACACTGGATTGTGATCCCACATCTGAATTTTGTAATAAGGAATGAATTACATTGTGCAAAGAACTCCTCTGTCAGTTATTTAGCTTCATGATTTAAGTGAGAAGTATTTCCTTATAGATAGAGCTCTAGTGAATTCATTATATTGCCAAATGTTTTAAATTACTGCCAACTTTACAAATGCTGTGTCCTGACAATGTTCAATGATTTTAAGAATATAAATAAAATAATACAGTTTCTCAGACTCCTTTTTATTTTTTCTGGTTAAGATCTAACAAATTACCCCCTTCATTGCAACTGTAACCAAGTTTACACTTTTATTTAAATTAACACAGATTTAGTTCACACTTCTGTGTGAACTTTAGAAAACGTATTTTCTAGTGTCTGTCCTTATTTGAATTATGTTCCTTTTAAGTATGTGTAATATCTCACAGTAGTATTTTATATAGCTTTTATTTTTCAACAGTGTGAAATTAGAATGGACAATTATATATTTTGGTTTAATAAAAATAACATCTGTTACCTACTTGATGCAAAATTTTCTTCAGGCTTCTTCTCCCTATTAGTTTGTGCTGGTAAGTGTTAGGATAGAACAGAGCCGTGTATTTATTATCAGGTCTTTGTATCTATTGACTATATTGTATGCCTGAATTATGTATATCCTGCCTCACACTCTGAAGACTGATCCTGTCCTTTATAAAGTGGTTTCTCAGATATTGAAAGTTTTTATTGTTTAACACAAAATTGCAATTCTGAATGTCGTAAAGTGAAGGACAGATTTAAAATTAATGTCCTTTAGAGAAGGAGAAAGGAACCCAGGTTAGTTTTAGGCATTTATATTGTGATTATAATAATATGCAATATAGCAAGCACTCTGCATTTCCACGAAGAGTAGAGAGTAATAGACACCATAAACAATCAAGCTTTCTTAATTACGAATAGATTCTGAAGGCTATATTTAGCAAAGCACTTAATCACCTTCTTAACCTCAAGCGTGTGGTCCTGATAGTCAGCAGAGTGGGGGGGGTGGGGGATGGGTGGGGGTGTTAAGTGTTTTTCTGCATCACTATTCCATTGTAAGATTTCCTTCCAACCTTATTTCTTTCTCAGTTATCATTTTTATACTTTAGGAAAAAGTCAGCCTGACTTCAAAAGGTGTAATGAGCATTGGCATTACATTCCCATGACAAAATATTTCCACTGCTTTCCCTTAGTGTAGTATTTTGGTAAGCATGGAACCTCAGTAAATAATCCACAACTTTTCTTTGTCCCTTGTAAAAATATTTTAGTACATACTTGCGTAGAATAGCAAATCAATGCTTAATTTGCAAGTGCAGCTGTAATATGTAGAATGAAGGACTTAATGTCTGAGTGGACAGTAAATGCAGGAGAAAAAGAAGTACCAGATGAAGAGCAGCGGTTGTTAACGACTCACTAAAGACCTCCCTTTGCAATGTCCCCCTCAGCAAATAAACATTAAATGTCATTGTTTCATTTAAGGCTACCTTTTGTCTTTTTTTTTCATCCAAATAATGCACTACAAAATAAAGTAGTTTCAAATAAATTTCTATAAAACCTTGAATAAGCTTTTAAAAGGATTAATATGTCCCTGGTTTTAGGCTGAATGCTAACAGTTTATAATTTCTGTTGTTAGTTGTTCACCGAGGCAGTGTGGCTTAGGGAGCAGAGCTGCAGGGAAAGGCAGATGAAGAAAAATGCTGCAGCTGTTCTCTGAGCTCGAGGGGAGCTTCTCCTTTTATCTTATTTATTCATATCAGCTAGATCTTGTTTCCTAATTCTTAGAAGAATGAGTTCTGTAAGTGAACCCTGCAAAAGTTCTGTTAGAATTTGTCTAAGAGTTCGTCGTTGTTAATTACAGTGATTAATTGTCTTGAGTGACTGTTTTAGCAGCCTAGAATTTAAAGCAGTGCCTGTGCAGATACGTATTTAAAAGATTTAAAATTACCTTAAATTGTACTTTTACTTGGTTTGTTTGCCATGGTTCTTACACTGGATTTTCAGGCATGTTCACCAACAACAAGGCAAATCTTAACACATTTTTAAAAGCTGTTTTTAATCTTGAACAGCTCAATGGTAAGAGTTAATCTAGTCAGGAAGGAGATATGAACAGTCTGCTTGACCATACTTGGGACAGCAAACTCTGACTCAGCCAGAGTTTGAATTGTCCAGGGAAAAATCTTAATGTTAAAAATATCAACATGATTAAATATTTGGTATAAAAGACAGAACTCTACATGCAAACTGGAATACCAGAAACTATATTTGTATTAATATTTTATGAACCTAATTTTCTTTTAAACTTCATGAAGGACCTAGGTTTTAGTAACTGCCAAGTTGTAATCTTGGTCCTCCCTGTGTCCATATTTAGTGTTAATGTGGCCAGAGTCCAGATGGGCTTTTGTTTCCATATTTCTTACATGAGGTGGGCTTTTTTTGTTTGTTTGCTTCCTTAGAAGAGTTGCTTACAAAGGTGCCACAATCATCACTAGCATTTTGGCGTGCAGAATGCTTTCCATGGTGCTTTCCCCAAACCTGGATTTTTCTCTCCATGTTCTGAGCAGCTTCTCGGTGCTTCTTTGTAGCAATTTATGGTCTTTTGTCCTTTGTGCTAACGATGAGTTAAGACCAGATGTTAAATACTACATGCCTGTCTATAGGACCAAGGCTTTTCCTGCCAGGTCATGGCAGCCCACCAGCAAGTGGTCAGCCTGGTTTCCCGTTCCTTGTTTGCATTGCTGCCACTAGTATAGAGCTCTTAAAGTGACTCTGTAGTCCTTTGTCTTGTCCTATCCTCCATATTCCTTTGTCCTATGTTATTTTTTAAGTCTTCTGCAATGGGTGAAAATATTGCTACGTCTGCCTTTGAGTCCTGGCACTTCTCCTCTGGCTGTTTGCAACTACTTCATGATTGCTGAAGTTCCTTTCTTGTACCTGTAATTTACTGCAGATGATCCTTTTGCCTCTGTTTTTTGTGATTGTTAGCAAGAACTGTGAATTTGAGCCCAGTCATTGGCTCCTTGCTTATAATTGCATGCTGAGTTTGATGTTCTTTGTCATGCCTGCCTTTTCTCTGTTGGGCTATGGAAGAATACATATTATGGGAAGAGAAACCATGAATCTTTATCCTATCAGTTCAATCTCTGCTGGATCCTGAGGAGTGTTTTGCATTGAGTGGCATTGCTGAGCCAAAGTGCCATACTCTTGGTTAGATCTTTGCCCATTAGTTTCTTTGACCTCTGATGCCTTCGGGAGTGTCCAGCTTGAGACATTTGTAGCTCATGTCCTACTTTAACACTGGATCATTTGAATTTTGATGTGGCCTCTTAGTCACAATAGTATTGCAAAATCCCTCTTCTATTTCTTCCTCATGCTAAATGCCTGTATGTCCTCCTAGCCTGCCTCTCAACAATGGGAACTTGCAGAAAGCCCTACAGCTACCCTCATTAAAAACCAGCAGGCTTGTTCTGACACGGGTAGGCTAGGATTTTGTGAGGTTCTGTCCCCTGTTGTTGATCCCTGAGCTCTTCTGATCTGTTGACTCTTTCATGCATACATGTAAATGAAGAGTTGGATAGTTGGCTAGCAGAGATGTCCTTATGCTTGCCTGGCATTGAAGCATAGATGCATCTTATTACATCAGTTTTTAAATCTAGGATTTTTGGCTAATCCCATTTAAACATAAGTTTGTATATAATAGGCACTTCAATCATCTTCTGGGACTCTAGCACCTAATTGCTTCATGCAGTCTGGATAGCTCTGAAACACAAGGTATTTCTCTCTCTGTAGCATATCATCCTGGTTGAAATTTGCTTTGGTTGTCAAAGCTTCCCCTCCTACATGGAAAAGTATTAGAGCATCGGAGCATGCTGACAGTCTCCCACTTTGGCAGCAGTGTCTTATACTCAGATGAGCTTGTTGGAATCTCCATAACCTATGTGTTGCTTGATTGCCTTGGCAATAGTTTATGATTCTTTTTTTTAATGGCTGATGATCAGACAGTATGTTCATCTCATACTCTGAGATGACTCTAAAGGAAGAAGGCTGATTCAGAAAGCATAGCCAATCTGTGTGTGTCTCTTCTTTTTTTTCCTCCCTCCCCTTAGCTGTTATGCAGGGCTGTTGTATGTCAGGGCTAGTACCTATGATTTTTCTTACTCTTTCAAAGAAGTATTCCTGTCGGTTCTGGCCTTTTTCCTTGTTGTATCATGAAACAGTATATGCACCAGATAAATACCTGCAGTAGATAAACTGGACTAGATGGGTCCTTGAGAAGTTATGTAGTCCATCCTTGACTCAAGTTATAGCTATACCTGAACCAGTTCTGGCACGTTTATTGGATCAGCTCATTAAAACACTCCCATGGTAGACAATGCACAGTCTCCCTAAACAAATCTGTTCCAATGCTTCATTCTTCTTAGCAGTAGAAAATTTATCATAATCTCTAAGAAAAACATTCTTGCAACAATTTAAGCCCACTATTTCCTATCCTGTTCCCAGCAGCCATGGAAGTTGGTTTATGACGTTCCACTTTGCAGCAGCTTTTTATTATGTTTGAATTTTATGATCTTCTCCTGTCTCCTCTTATTCTTTCAGTTTTCCTTTATGGTTTATGCTTTCTGGCATATCATAATTTACTTGCTTTTCTCTGCCTTGTTCTGATTGTCCACGTTTCTTGAGGCGTGCTGCCCACAATGTATTCAGTGTTTCAGATGAAGCTACTTTTTTAGCACTACCAAGTAAACAGGAAAAATGTTTGCATGTCCAATTACAGTCACTTTTTTTCTCTGCAGTTTGGCACTACGGATTTGTGTTCAGGTCCTAATCCCCCTCAAACTCCGAAACCCCCACTGCAAAGCTGCTGCCCAGCCAATTCACCATCCAGTGATTATGCATTATTCTTAAGTATTGGATTTTGTCCTTTGTACTGAATTTCATTGCATTTTCTCAAAATGTATCACCATTTTGTTCAGATTATTTTGAATTTTCTCTTGGCCTCAAAATGCCTGCAACTTTTTACAGCTTCTAGTTGTCAGCGGATGTAACAAATGCATCCTTTGTTCATTCAACTAAGCCACTATTGAAGTTGGCGGTTAGTGGCAAATCCATAAGGTTTCCCATATGTATGGGAGGGAAATGCTTCATACAGTGTTAATTTTCTTAAGGGTTCATAAGCTTCTAGTTAATGTGCTCAGAAATTTTTGGAAAAACAGTTGGCTTTCCTGGAAATTGCTGGATTCTCTTCATGTCCTTTGGTTTCAGGATTTTTTTAGCAGCCTGTTCT